CGAGATGCGGTGCTTGGGTGATGTATTATTTCACTGGGCGCCTATATTTTTTTATATATATACAGGGAACGCAACCTTAATTTGTTAATATATATTAGAAAATTAATGTTTTAATTACCCTTAATACATTACCTTGATTCTTAAAAGGTCACTGACACATCAAAATCATATATTTTTTAATTATCCGAAACGATTGCAAACGATGCCGGGACATTACACTCAAAACCCGACACTTGGAAATTCAGTATTTCTGAACTAAAAAAAAAAAAAAAAAATTCTTAATGCCGAATTTGAAGTTCTCGTGCGATTTGCACCAGTGCAATGAGTCAAATTTCGCGGTCTCCTGCGACTCGACTTTCTTTCGGACCTGCGCTCCACGCTACGAAACAAAGCGCCGTTGCCACCGCGACCCGAAGCGAGGAGGAGGTGAGCAGGCGGGATAGAAGGGCGCCGGCGCGTGAAAAAAACGGTTTCTTCCCCGACTCGCCGATCATCCTCTGCTCGAGCGGCGCCAAGTTTTCCGAGGGAGGATACAAATCCAGGAAGCGGTATCTCACAGAACTCTGATAGTTGGATTTCAAAAAAGAGGGGCCGTGGAGCGTTCGCAATTGCGTTAAAAGAACATGTTTTACGATTTCCGTTATTAAATGTTATAGAAATGTCGCCTACAAAGGTTCTAAATTTCCTGACTTTTGATGTCACCGATCAAAAGAAGCAAGGAGGTAAGCGGAGGAGGAGAAAAACGCCAAAAATAAAAAGCCGCGCGCGCACGCGGGGTAATTTTTTTTCGCGATGCGTTTTTTTTTTGCGCGTCTATGACTACAACTTGCATCGTTTTAGACAATACAAAAATACGACCTTTAAGCTGTCAGTGCCCCTTTAAGCTAATAGGATTTTGGGTTTTAACGATTCCGTTTTTCAGGAAGTCAGTCAATATCACCTAACTTCAACAGACGTAGATAGATATCTCTATGGCGTGGAGAAATGCGAAGCTCAAGCTACTAATGCTTATCAACGCTTTCAACATCATTCTTTCCTTCAGAAACTTACTTCATCCGTCTAATCAATAAAATATTCACTGTCTACATGTAACTTAAAATAAAATGTTGCAGGCGTTAAACTTGAATAATCCAATCAATTATACACTTAGGTACACCTACACTTAGGAACACCATTATAGGTATATTTATTTAACTGTGTCTGTAATGGGTTTAATATGATTGTGAGGTGTGCGGGACGATGATCAATTCGATCCGTCCGAAATTCGATGGAGGAGTGACATTTATAAAGGGACTGAATACGCTCTGATAACACGAAAAATTTATTTATTTATTGATCCTTTGGGAGGGAGGATGGTACAAGGCCGCTGATTCTTTTAATTCACAGAAGATACACACACACCTAATAAAATAATGTATCTTGTTTATAAGTGTAGGGATAACTGGATGATCGACTGTTCAAATATTAATAGAAAACTGCTTCGCTTGCCCTGTCACAGACCTGAGAGATTCAATATACGTGCGAATAAGTAAGGCGGAGTGATAGATTAGTGTATTAACCAACAACAACAACAACAACAACAACAACACATTTTTTAATTTTTTTTATATATAACATTTTGGGGTGGGCGAACATTATAGTTTCGAATTCGAATCGAATAGCGACTGACCGAATAGCTGCCTTCCACTTTCGAATTCCTAATAGTCCAGTTCTCGAATAATTTGACGCATCGAATGCTGCTGGCAAAGCTCTTGGTTTCTTCAAGAACGCCATCAGTATTGCGGTCAAGACCTCACGGGTTTCGAATTAATTTAAGTAAGGCCTTCTCTTACACGACTCCACAGATTATAGCGATGAAAAGTAGCTTTATTCTTCGAACGAAGCGGTTGAGCTTGTCGGCGGTGTTCGAAAATGCCGGAAAAGAATTTGAGACGTCCGGCCCGGAGCTTAAGCGAAAGGCATCTCTTCTTCTTTTTATTGTTGTCGCACCGGCTCCCGAGATCCTATGAGCGAGCTAGAGCGAGAGTCTGCACGAGCAACTCGCGCTCACTGTGCTCGGTTCTGTGGCGCGCCCATTGTTTTAATTCTGAGCACGAATGATTTCTTTTTGAGTGAAGCAGGTTTTAAGAGCTGCGACTCTACAGAATCCCCCCCCCCCCCCCCCCCCCCCTAGTTGCGTGGAGCAGAAAGTTTTGTTGAGCTCTTCGTAACGATTTTGTTCGGCGGGTGTGGAGGACGAGAGGTGGTGGTGGTGTTTGTTGCACTAGGTGGTGGAACGGACATAATGACGGGGGCTGTCACTGTAGAGGCCAAGTATGCTGGCTTGACCCTGTCCAGCGTGATGACGTCGTGGCGCCCGTTGATGTCGATGGTGCAGGTCTTGTCCGTTCGCGAAAGTACCTCAAATGGGCCATCATACGGTGGCGTGAGAGGTGGTCGTACTGCGTCCCTTCTTACGAATACATGTTTGCATGTATTGAGATCGTCACTAATAAATATGTTCCGAGAGTTTGAGTGTCTAGGTGAGACTGGACGCAAGGAATTGAAAAATGTCTTCATGTCCTGAAGGTATGATGGGATGTCCGTTGGTTCAGATGTTATGCAGGTTAGGAGTTCTCCAGGTAATCGAAGTGTGGTTTCATAAACGAGTTCAGCTGAGGTGCAGTCGATGTCGGCTTTGAAAGTGGCACGAATTCCGAGAAAAACAAGAGGAAGGTGATTAACCCAATGGGTTCGGTCTTCTTTTGTCATTAGCGCTGCTTTGAGCTGTCGATGCAGCCTTTCAACCATGCCATTGGCAGCGGGATGATAGGCTGTTGTGTGCACGTGCCTGACACCCAATATCTTGGTGAGGGCTGTGAAGAAGGCACATTGGAACTGCCGGCCGCGGTCGGTCGTAATGTTCGACGGACAGCCAAAACGCGCGATCCAGATGGAGATGAAGGCGTGAGCGACTGTTTCCGCTGTGATGTCGGTAAGCGGAACGGCCTCTGGCCATTGCGTGAATCTGTCCACACATGTAAGTATGTATCGAAATCCGTTTGATGATGGTAGGGGTCCTACTATGTCAATGTGTGCATGATCGAACCTGGCATCCGGTGGCCGAAATGCGTGCGTCGGTGTTTTTGTGTGGCGAAACACTTTAGAGCGTTGGCATTTGTTGCATGTTTTCGTCCACAGACGGATGTCAGAGTTCATTCGGGGCCAAACACACCGTGACGTAACAAGACGCTGCGTAGCACGGATACCCGGATGATTTAGATCATGTACGGTGCGGAAGATAGCTTGCCGAAATTTTTCTGGAATGTAGGGTCGTGGTGTGGATGTAGATACATCGCAGATGATCTTGCAGGTGGCCAGTGGTAATCTGACGGGCTGTAGTTGAAGGGATGTGGAGGATACCCGTAGATCTTGTAGCTCGGTGTCTTCCTGTTGAGCCAAGGCCAATTCCGGGAAATTGACAACAGGAGATGAGGAGATGGTGTCAATGCGGGAAAGTGCATCTGCTGGCATGTTTTGGGATCCAGCGACATGGCGGAGATTGGTAGTGAATTCGGATATGTAGGCCAGGTGACGAATTTCTCTGGTGGAGTAGGAGTGGTGATTGCCGACGACTGCGTAGATCAGTGGCTTGTGGTCGGTGAGTACGTGGAAAGCTCGGCCTTCTAAGAAGTACCGGAAGTGGCGGATGGTCGCGTAGATTGCGAATAGCTCGCGTCCAAACGTACTGTAACGTGTTTCGGCAGGGTTGAGTTTTTGTGAAAAGAAACCCAGTGGGAGCCACTGATGATCGCCGTATTGCTGAAGCACTGCTCCTACAGCGACATCGGACGCGTCGACCATGACACGCGTTGGTGCGTTTGGCATGGGGATCACAAGGAGTGTGGCTTCAGCCAGGGCATTCTTGACCGCGGTGAAGGCAGCCTCCGCATCTGGCGTCCATGGTATTGGCGTCGAAGATTTCTTGGGGCCGCGGAGCAAGTTGCTAAGGGGCTTGATGGTTTGAGCGCAGTGTGGAATGAAGCGCCTGTGAAAGTTGATGAGCCCTAGGAACTCCCGCAGCTTGCGTAGAGATTGCGGTTGCGGGTAGTCATGAATGACTTGCACCTTGGAATGAAGGGGTTCGATGCCTGCGGTTGTGATGCGGTGCCCCAGAAAGTCTAAGGACGTCACGCCAAAAACGCACTTCGTCACATTAATGGTGAGACCGTAGTCGCGGAGTCGTTCGAAGAGCAAGCGCAGGTGTGTGCTGTGTTCTTCGTGTGACTTACTCGCCACCAGCAGGTCATCCACGTAAGCAACAACGAAAGGTAACCCAGATAGAACTTCGTGGATGAACCTCTGAAATGTCTGGGCGGAATTTCGCAATCCAAAAGGCATCCGGATGTACTCGAATAGGCCGAAGGGAGTAGTGATGGCCGTCTTCGAGATGTCCTCTGGTTGGATTGGAATTTGATGGTAAGCCTTGACTAAATTGATCTTGCTGTAGATGGACGTTCCAGCAAGATGTTCAGTAAAGTCATGGATATGGGGTAGTGGGTACCGGTCAGGTTGAGTTTGTGAGTTGAGTGCCCGGTAATCCCCACAAGGTCTCCAGTCGCCCGGATCTTTCTTGGGCACCATCTGTAGAGGCGTTGCCCAAGCGCTGTTGGATGGCCGGATGATGCCTAACTCGAGCATATGCTCGAATTCTTGGCGGGCTATCCTGAGGCGTTCGCCAGATAGGCGTCGAGGGCGTGCAAAGGTAGGCGGGCCAGAGGTGATGATGGGGTGCGTCACCCCATGTTGCGGTGGCTTTGCCATGTTGGAGGTCTTTGTAATTTCCGGGAATGCGCCGAGGATGTCTGCTAATCCTGAAATGGGAGGATGTTTTTGATCCCAAGGGAAGTCTGGTTTGTGGCTACGCCATTTACAACGAGACGAGTCTTGTTGTCAATGAGACATCGGTGGTGCACGCTGACGTCTAGGTCGAAGTGCGACAAGAAGTCTGAACCTAGGAGAGGGTACGTAACGTCGGCGATGGTGAAGATCCACCGAAAAATTCTGCGTAGCCCCAAGTCCAAAGTCACAGAGCGCATTCCGTAGGTAGGGATGTTTGAGCCATTTGCTGCAACTAGATGGCGGCCGGGTAATGGGTGTCATTTTTGAGCTGGCGTTGGCGGAAGGATGGACATTTCCGCTCCGGTGTCAACTAGTAAGCGTATTCCTGAGATTTTCTCGGTGATGAAAAAGAGACGGCTTGCTGTAGGGCCAACGTCACTCGCCGCCTCTAGTGACTGGCCGGGGCATTTCCCTGCCAATTGCATGGCTGTTGGCACTTCAAAGCTCGGTTGCCAAATTTCTGGTGGTACCAGCAGGAATTGCTAGCGCGTTGTTGCGAAGAATCGCGTCGTCTAGAAGAACTGCGGCGTCGAGACGGACTACGACGTGGCGGACGATGTGGGTGTCTACGCGTTGTGCTGAGTTCTGCGATGGCGGTTGTCAGAGCATCCACGCGGGCCTCAAGGGCTCGGATAGAACAGCACTGGCGGTCGTTGTCCGCAACGCTTGACAAGGTTGGCGCAGCATATTCGGCAACGCGGTCCGCCATCTCGGCGAGGCGGTCTAGTGGTAGGTCTGTAGCTGGTGCAAGGGTCATGCGGATCCCTTGAGGCAAGCGCTGAAGGAACAGTTCCCGTAGAATTGGGAGGTTCCGATCGGGAGCTTGCTCACCTAGAAGTTGGCGCATGCGGTGAAGCGACTGGGAGGGTCGGCGGTCGCCCAGCTCCTCGGTGGTCAGGAGCTGTTGTATCCGCGATGCCTCGGATGCTGTCTTCCTGGCGAGGATGGTTTCCTTAATGTGGTCATAGGCGTTCTCCGGAGGAGGGAGCGCCAGGACATCATCCAGCTCATCGGCCACTTCGGGGGGTAGGGCAGAAACCACATGATAGTAGCGGGATTCCTGTGTGGTTATGCGGCGCAAGTGGAACTGGGCTTCCACTTGCGAAAACCAGGCCCGAGGATTCTTCGCCCAAAAAGCTGGAAGGCGGAGCTGGGTGGCGGAAAAGGTTCCATCGCCGTTGGAAGAGCTGCCTGTGTTCCGGTCCATGTTGGTCGGACGTCCGGGTCACCAATTTGTTGGCGGTGTTCGAAAATGCCGGAAAAGAATTTGAGACGTCCGGCCGGAAACTTAGGCGAAAGGCATCTCTTCTTCTTTTTAATGTTGTCGCACCGGCTCCCGAGATCCTATGAGCGAGCTAGAGCGGGAGTCTGCACGAGCAACTCGCGCTCACTGTGCTCGGTTCTGTGGCGCGCCCATTGTTTTAATTCTGAGCACGAATGATTTCTTTTTGAGTGAAGCAAGTTTTAAGAGCTGCGGCTCTACAAGCTCATCCCCCTTCGACGCGCTTGGCGAAAACCCATGGACCACGCGTGTCGCCCTATTGAATTCACGTCTCTTCCGCCAACAACCGCAAGCTCATTGCGCTAAAAAGTGTTGTTGCGTCCATTATAAGCCGAATAATTACCACAAGACAAATAACAACAAAATATAGAACCCACCTCTCTGCTTGGTCCACTAAGCCGTCGATTTTCGCGGTATTAAGCGAGGTGCCACGGCAAAGTGGCGTAAGGCGTCGCTCAGATTCAGAGCTCGGATTCAAACAGCTAAGTAGAATCTTTTTACCCTCCTAGCACGCTGCGGACCCTGTGTACTCACGCGAGAATGGGTGAACACATTCAACAACTGCGCCTGACGTGTCTCGCTGGCGAGTAATAATTCGTGTTAGCGGTTCTTTGTTCAGCGTGTTTGTGTTAGAGTGAGCATATAGGCTTTTTTTGTTTAAGCGGCTTTTGTGTAGTTTCTCTGCATTAGGAATGCAACCTTTGTTTTTTTTATATTCGATTCGATATTCTACATTGTGGCAACCATTTCACAGCCTTTGATTCGAATTCGATTTGAGCTAAAAATTAATGATTGCCCACACCTAGTAGTTAAGGTACTGGTATGTTTCATACTAACTGTGGCGCGTTTCGGGCATTGGATGCACCTGGACGTCAATTATTCGTACATTATTTGATAAAGCACTACTTATCTCCTTAGGATAAAATGACTCCTATATAAAAGAGAGCCTTGATTTTTATCTTACAAACAGGTAATTACAGGAAAGAGGCCGAAGTGATAAAACATCTACTCAAGGGACACGGCATAATGTCATGGGCTCTGCAACCAGGAACGTCCCGCGTGAACTACCTTAGCGTGCTGAATTCTACGGGTCTCTACCCGTTCCTAAATGTGGAGGTGAAACGAACCAAATCAAGTTGGTCCCGGAACACTCTAGTGGTACGTACACTTAACTCGAAAGCATGACAACGTGAAGACTTAAAAAAAAAGTTTCCCATTTATTACAGAGAGATGACCTGCTTCCCAAAAACAATTTTAATGCTTGGATGCTTACATTCGATTTCTAGGAGTGGTTTAATAACACGCGTGTCAATGAGTTTATTTTTATATGCCAGAGAAATATGCATGTATTAGCCCCGTTTACGTAATTAAAAAAGTCGCTCTTTAATTTTTTAAGGAAATGTATTTGTATTCATAAGAAATCTTTAAGTGGAGCAGAGTGAAACTACACATTTCGGATGCTTGATTTTTTTTTATAGATATTTGTCGGTTGTTATAAATAAGTAAAAACGAAAACATGCCTATTTTCTTGTTCATATAGCGCTCCATTGACATATTTTATACAAATATTATATTGAAAAAAGAAATGAAAGTCGTTTAGAACTCCCTGCAATGCCGAATTAGAGCGCAGCTCTTGAGGAGGAGGGAAGGGTACTGAGGGTCACGTGTTCCCGGGGGGGGGGGGGGGGGGGGGTCGCGTGACCCCCTCCCCGACGTCACGTGACCCCCGAGATTTAGCGGAAATATTTTACCGCTAAATCTAGCGGAAAAATTTCAACGCTAAATCTAGCGGAAAAATTTCCCCGCTAAATCTAGCGAAAAAATTCCCCGCTAAATCTAGCGGAAAAATTTCCCCGCTTAACCTAGCCGAAAATATCCCCCCTAAATCTGGCGGAAAAGTTTCCCCGCTAAATCTAACGGAAAAATTTCCCCGCTATATCTATCGAAAAAATTTCCCCGCTATCTCCTCATTCTTTTCCGGGAAACTGTGGATGAGTTTATGGTCTGCAGTCGCGAGGTTGGATTGGGTTCCGCCGTGTTCAGCAGGGCCCTGAGGATCACCCGGGTCATTTTGTTGCTCAAGGTGCCCTGTAGCTGATCGCACACTTGATTTCAGTTTGGCCTCCCCAGTCTTTCGGCGCACTCCTAAGTCTGCTTTGTAATTTGGGCGATCTTGGCCTTGAGTTTTCGATTTCTTTTCTGCCACTTCCAGGTTTTCAGCAGCTCTTGCCTCGCCTCCCATACGCGAAGCAGGTGCGCATCTACCTCTGGGTAGTCTCTCTTGAGCTGGATTGCCTTTTTTGCTTGGTCACGGCTCCAGTCACCCTCTGACCCTCTGGGTCTACTCCAATATGTCTGCCAGCTCTCCGGCGACCTCCTTCTTCCTGGAGGCCGGCTAATCCGTGATCTTTGCCTGCCCAACCTTGTCGGAGCCTTATGATGTCAGACTTGCGTCTGGACAATGTGAAGGACACTGCCCAGCGTCCCTTCTAGCCTCGACCACTTTGCCTGAGGCATGCCGGCCGAGGTGACGTCAGGGCTGGTGTCCCTCAATACGCTGTCCCCAATCCTTGTAGGGATCGAAGTATCATCCAGCAGAATCAATTGAATTTGCTAGGCTGCATTGTGGATATCAGTTCCCTTCTTGCTGTTTGTATGGTTACCCTACGCCACATGTTGGGCACTGAAGTTCCCCACCACTAAGAGTTTCTCTCCTTTCGCTTCCTTTCTAACCTCCCTTCGCAGCCTTTCCATGTCCCCCAGAGTCTTCTTGGCGGGCTATATATATTCAGTATGAATAAACTACCCTGCGTTTTCTTTTGCGGCATGATTTCTATCAGCACGGCCTTCACCCGATGATTAGGTTGGTGCTGCTGTGATTTTTTCTTACCAGCGTCGCCGTTGTAGTCCTACCCTCTGCTCTATTTGTTGTGTATTTCCTTATTCTAACCTTATCCGTCTCTGTTTCCTGTAGCGCTATCATATCTGGCTGTTGATCAAGAGTAAGCTGTATTAGCAGCTGTATCTTCCCATAGAGAAGCCTACCATTCCACTGCCAAATCTTTACTGTCTCGAGTGATTCTTTCTTCTCTTGGTGCCAAGTTTATATTCTGGCTACTGGATACCTCACCTCTAGCAGATATTATCTTAGCCCAATTATTAATCTCTTCACTTTCTTCCACCGCCGATAGGCGTTGGTCTAGCGCACTGCTCAGCTTTCCCGTCTGGAGATTATTCGCCATTTCCTCCATCCTAGACTGAAACGCGTCCTTCAACGGTCTAGCTATCCTTTTTATGTTATCTATCAAACACTCATGATTGCTGCTACCTTTCTCTCCACTATTCCCAGCACGTTTTGCGTGTCCTCTGGCGTCCACGAACCTTTCGCATACTGCTGTCTCTGCCGAATGGGTTGGCTTTCGATCGACTGTCCCTGCACCTGATCTATTTGGGGCTGCAGCTTCTTCTGTAGTGCCTTTTCTCTCGCTTGAGCTCTTTTCTCACCCCCTTCCAACAGCCCATTTCCCCATTCTGTCCTTTGAGTTCCTCCATCACTTTCTCACAATTCTTATTGAATTGGTTCCCTCGCCAATCCTCCAGAGGGGGAAATCGCCTTATTTTCCTGCCGGAGCGTTAACCCATCGATGCCAGCTCCTTCAACCATTCTGCTGCGGCGATCCCCCTGCTGATTCTGCTGCTTCTCGCTCTTCGTTGCATCCCGGCCACCTGTGGCATCGACCACCGCTGCGTTGCTCATTGCTGATGTTGCTGCGCCGTTTGAATGGTATCGGCGTGCCACGTCACTTGTTTGTTTCTGCTGGCGTTCTTCTCCCTCATGTGCAGGGCTGGGGGTCCCGGCCTGAGCCTTTTTTCAGACTGTTTGCTCGCCGTCTGGTGTGGCTGGTCAAATACCTTGCACCTGGGCTTACATTTGTGGCCTTCCTTGATCGCATCTTCTCAGCACTTTGGACAGTTGCTTCTGTCCGGGTCCGGGCAGACGTCGTTTCGGTGACCAACTTCGACGCAGGCCCTGCAGTACTGTGCAAACCTCTTATGCGGTCTGTGTCACGTTCGCCCGGTCCGACACGCGAAATGATTGAGACAAGACCAGGTGAAACAAAGGCATGTGCATAGGTATTAAAATGATGAAAGGAAATCAGAAGGTAATTATCAGACAAAAGAAAAGTCCAAAGCAGACCAGGATCCCCGTGGTCAAGTCCCCACAAAAGCTCGACTCACGCCTGACGTGGCGGGGCTTCAGGAGCTTTGCGACCTTCGTTGTGACTTAAGGAACCGGAGCGTCGCCGGGTTCGTCGTGGCTTCTGGTACCGGAGCTTTGCCGGGTTCGTCGTGGCTTGAGGGACCGGAGCGTTGCCGGGTTCTCAGGAACCGGTGCGTTGCTGGGCTCTATGGAACCGGAGCGCGGTCGGTTTTGGTGAGGCTTGAAGAGCCGGAGCGTTGCCGGTTTCAAGAAGCGTCGGGTCAGAACTGCTCCACTTGCCCGCCGTTCCTCGCGATCCTCTTCTTCCTCTTTGCTCCTTTTTTTTTCTTCTTTTCTTCCCAGCTCCACACCTGTGACAATGCCCCCCAACTTTGAGAAGTTCATCGTTGAACTTCTTCCACACCGTCAAACTTGAACTTCATCAGTGAAGACTCGGGCTGACAGTAATTCTTGCCGGCACTTCCACAGCACTCACTCTTCGTATGGGGGATCTCGAGCTTTGGCAAAGGCCGCATCCATTATTGTAGCACTCGCACGCGCAGCACCAGTCTACACACTTGACTGCACGAGATGTAACATAGTTCTTTCATTTCACACTCGCGCACAAAGTACGAAAAAAATATCATGCGTGAAGAACTTTGAAATAAAAGTCGATTCACATTGAATTGCGTCCCTCATCCGATTACGAGACGGAATGTCCAACGAGACGAAATATCCAATGATGGATGGTCAGGCACGTTGGACATTCAGGCTCGTTGGACATTCCGTCTCGGTTGGATCTTTCGTCTCGATGGACATTAGGGCTCATTGTACATTCCGTCTCGATTGTTTTTTTCGTCTCCTTGGACATTCAGGCACGTTGGACATTCCGTCTCGCCTGTGACGTGCTAGTATAATTTGTCTTGTTAAATATACAGACTTGTGTGTATATTTAATCCGCGTTCTTGTAGTTATTGCCGTATTTTCGTCATACTAATATGTCGTGCCACTGAAGCCGACGTTGACAGACCGACAGTGAAACACAGAGCAGACATAAATATTCTGATTTCATCTATAGGAAGGCATGATGGTTACTTAGCTGAGTGCCGATGCGCAGCTATGTACCCATCAATTAAAGGTGTTGACTGTACGACGCCAAACGCTCCTTTGATATTGACAGTTCAAATGTTTCGAATGTTTCGATGACATAGGTCAGTCAATTTGAATTATAATACGGATGTGGTGTCCCGGTGTTCTATAGTGCATCGCAATTGGGGACGTCTATGAAAGCCGCGCTTGAGATCCCAGGAATTTCTAGTTCAGTCTTCATTCCTGCCCGTTTCGATCTATAGATAAGCTACGTACGGAGACCCGTATTGTATACGCACATGACCGTCCGCCAGCGCCACTGACTATGCGCAGAGTCAATATTTAAATTTTTGAAAGGAGCTTTGGGCGCTGTTGGTGTGAGGCATCAGCATCTCATGCGGAAAACAGTATGTCGGGCAGACCGGGAGGTGTCTCAATGACCGGTTACGAGAGCGTCACTATAACACAAACAGAGTGATATCAGGGAATCTGGGTATCCATTGCCGGGACTGCGGATGTTCAGCGAACCTGAGTAACCGCACTGTCATTACCAGAAGTGCTAATCAGCTGACACGAGAGACTATCGAAGCTGAAAAAATAGCCACGTTGTACAAACCATGTTAGTGTATGATCCTTAGCTTTGTCAAAGAAAGAATTGGATTATCTAGAGATATCATCAAAGTACCTATAGTGATAAGAAATTTTTCGCTTAATTTTTAATAAATTTTTAGATTTCATTTATAATTTAATTTTTAATATTATCTTTTAGTTGTCATTTATTTATTTAATTATTAGTTATTTATTAATGTGTATTGGCTATTTGGTCTCTGGTGTGTAAAAATTTAAATTGTTCTCAGTAACGGCAAAG